GATGAGCTGCTCCGAAATCCGTGATGTCTTATAAATGGGGTTATGTCCTTATATCAAAAAACATTCATCTTGAACAATAAATAAAAAAAGATTTCCAACCTCATGAAGAATAAGCCGCTAAAGCGAATGGCGTACTTAGTTTTTTAATACAACCAACCAGAGTGTTACAAATACGTCCTAAAGTGACTATATGGTATTATTTTTTACGAATTTTCAAATTTATTTGTTAAGATTTTCCAGATAGTAGTAATTTTTCTAAAATTAAAATACCTAAGATTGTAGCTAATTTAATGTAGCTTTTAAAACAGTTAACAGATTTTGAATTGATTTATGTTTGAACTAGTAAATTAGGTTTAAGTAAAGCCATGTTGAGTACAATCAGGTCTGACATACTTTTCAATTTGTTGAAGTTTTTATCAATGTCGTTTGTATATGCTAAGTAGGGAAATACTTGCATGTGCGCCTTTACTATTTCAAAAAAATAAATAATCTCCGAAGATGCTAACCTGTAGCAGCAATGTCGAAGGGTAGGGGAAATGTTAATTTGGTGACAGGTAATAAGATCAACGGAAATAAGGTCAATTGACTTTATTTCGCACAATTACCTTTTTAAAAACGAAATAAAATCAATTGGCATTATTTCTCTTTCAAACATTAAGTTTGCTTAGCTTCGCACCGGCCCGCGTCAGCGCGCCACACCGCGCGCCACCACGTCACGCTACGCCCCGACCCCCCCTTCCCCGTCTCCCGACGTGCTGTAACGCAGGTAGATTTATTTTTTGTATACGTTGAAATAAAATTTTTATATATTTTAAACATCGAGGGCTTATATTCAATAATACCCTCTATCTGCACACTTGAGATTCTGATATAAAAATCCACCTAAGCTTTAACTGTCATCAGTGATATTAATGCTACCTTATATAACGACAGGTAATAAGTCCCAGATGGTTTCTAAAATCACAAATTAGTTTTTGTGCAAATTGCAGATAGAGGGTATTAATGAATTCAAGCCCTCGATATTTCACATTTTTATATTTGTAAGTTATTGGAAGCAGGGATGCCAACTTGGCTCAAACCGTGCCATTTGTTCCTATTTTACTTCAAATGACACTTAATTTTTCAATTTGGCACAAATGCCAAAATAGCACTTTTGTAAAAAAAATAACATTTCAATACATTTTTGTGAAATCCTTTGCGTGCACTTCTTTTTCTCAACTAAAATTTTCTAATTTATAAAGGCTATTCAACTGGTTTATCTTATTTTATCATTGCACTTTTGTTTTGAAAATGTGGCTTTATTTTATTGCTAAATGTGAATGATTAAAAGGAAAAGGAAAAGGAAAGAAAGGAAAAGGCACTTTTATTTTTCTATTTGGCACATTTTGGCACTTTTTTTATCCTCAATATGGCACCTCATAACTAAGGAGAGTTGGCAGCCCTGATTGGAAGATTTCTGCTGTGTTTTGAGGCAACAACTTGTCTGCAGTAAAAAAGCATATAATTTGTGTTTGAAAGGTGTGTGAAAACCAATCAATTAACTTATATGATCTCTGTTCCGATATTAAATAATCAATAATTGTTTATACCCGCATTTTAGCACATTGGCTCGTTGAATGTGCCATCTAATAAATAGTGCCGTCGTTCTCCTTAGCTGCTTTTAAATGACTGCTGGCGGAGACATGAATACAGTGTAGGAAACTTCTTTTTCTATAATTGTTTCCTTATAGAAAGGTTGGTTTCTCTTTTCCACCTTAGACATCCCGAATTTGTTCAAAATATGCTAATTTAAAACACAGAATTCTTTCAGTGCTCCTCCGGGGTTTTTGGACATGGACTGTATCTTCAATTTAATAGTGTTCGCTTTATTTTTGTGGAAACGAAAAATGTTTTGCAAGTTATGGATCATTTCTCCACTCTTTCTTCAAATATTTCTCGTATTCCAGCTGTGCGCAGGCGTTTAGTTTTCGCATCGTGTTTTTTACATATTCGTAATTTAAATTTTTTTTAATAGAACCAATTGGTGGTAGTTCATGATTGTGTGTGGATTAATATCACAACACTGAGGATTTGGCAAAAGCCTTTTTCATCTATTAAAAAACAACACTTACGGGGCAATGTTTATTGTAAGAACAACACTTGTTTCTGTGAATCGACATACTTTAAGCATTGTTGACGCTATTTCCATTTGAATGAGGAAATAGCGTCAATGACTTTATTTCCAAATTTTTGTTGACTTTATTTCGCTTTTGAAAAGGTAATAATGTCAATTGACTTTATTTCGCACCAGGGTGGGAAATAAAGTCAATTGACCTTATTTCCATTGACCTTATTACCTGTCACCGTTAATTTAAATTTAGATTCTCTATGTTCCGTTCGTTTGTCAAATCTGTATTTTTAATGTTAGCATATTCAGAGTAGAAATTGGTCACGTCATGTTTCACTACTGACTTTAACTTAGTGGCGACGCCTAAACGCGAACAAACGTTAAAATTAATTCCACTTTTCTCTATGTGTATTAAATTAATGAAACTTACCAGTGCATGGAATTAAATGCAGTTTCCCCCGAGGTATGGCTTGAGGTCAAACTTAAAATATAGGCTCCATTTTACCACAGGAAAATATCTGGAAAATATTTGAAAGTATTTGCGGTGGAGTACTGTAATTCGGCACGGTTGTATATGAAATTTGTTCCACGCTCACGTAGTAAACTGAAGGTTATTGGAAAAATGGGCGTAGCATATATTCTATCTATACTTATTACCAGGGAACGGATTTTATGGAAATTGCCTTTTTTTCTGCTAAAGAGATAGAGTTGCCTTTTTTTGCCTTTTTTAAGATATTTGCCTTTTTTTGCCTTTTCTACCTTTAAAAAAGTGATTATAGCATTTACAATTTTTTTTTAAGATTAAAAAATATAGACATGCGCATGCGGCTTATAGAAGCGCAGGGACCTCTTGCCAAATTGGTGTTGGAAAAATTCAAAGGCGTTTTCTCAGCTAACGTAGGCTTGGAGACAATAAGGGGTGTGGATAAAATTATAAAGGGCGAGGAAAACGCCCTTATTCCTGATAATATGAACGTTTCAAACGTTCCATATTTAAATTGGGGTCCACTTGTATCAACTTACGTCGAGCGCACATTTAGTACATTCAAGGCTTTTCTTCGCGAAAATCGAATGAAAATGCTGCCAGAAAACTTCAAAATGCATCTTGTGGTTCAATGTTACTACAACTATACAGATTGAAGTTTTATGAGTTAGAAACTCGAAAGGATAAAATAGTCAAAGGTTCAAAGTACAAATTTTTCATATAATGAAACTAGTTCATACTGGCATGTTCCAGAAAAGTAGTAGAATGAAAATGAAGTAAAAATCAAAAATAAAACTTTTCATTTTTGATGTTCTAGAAAAGTAGCAATTTGCTGGTTCATTTTTAAAATTTGATGTTCGGAAAAACGGAATTCAGAAGTATAGGGTAAAATGTAGAACACCCAAATGTGAAATTGAAGTATTTTTAAACAACTTTCACTCCAAAAAAGAATGCAGAACATGCCTGATAGTTTTTCTCTTTTTACTTGTGATATAAACATTTCTAAAATAAATGTATTTCTTTATTGTTCTTCGTATTTTCTGTCTTTTTTTAGTGCCTTATTTTGCTTTTTTTTGCAATACCTAGTGCCTTTTCCTGCCTTTTTCGCTATTTTGTTTTGCCTTCGTTTGCCTTTTTTTTGTAATACCTAGTGCCTTTTCCTGCCTTTTTCGCTATTTTATTTTGCCTTTTCCAGCCTATTTCGTTACTTTATTTTGCCTTTTTTTATAGGTTTTTAGGTCCTAAAAATCCGTTCCCTGCTTATTAATACTATTATAAATGTGAATGTTTGTATTTCTGTTACTCAATCACGTAAAGGGGCTGAACGGATTGGAATATTTGGCCCTGATAGCTGTATTAGGGACTGACCTATTCGAAAAAATTGTATTTAGGGTCCGGTTTTCTTGAAATTGCACGTATGCATATTACAGATATAAAGAGAAATCAACCTACCAAAAATGGACACGATAGGTGGTACCGAAGCAATTAATAATAATAATACCGAAGCAATTATCAGTCGTAAATATAGATAAAGTATTCCACAGCACGGCAGTTTCATCCACGCCTGCTTTGGCTTTTAAATTTTGTGATGAAGTTTGTCAAGTTGGAAAGTGGTTTTCAACATGGCTTCACTTGAACCTAATTTACTAGTTAAAATATAATTCGATTCAAAATCTGTTCACTTCCTTAAAAACTACATTAAATTGGCTACCCTTTTAGGTATTTTAATTTTGGAAATTTGATTTCGTTAGGTTCTTTGCGTCCTATTTTCATATTCTGCTGCTGGAGATGTGATCTGAAATACTTTAGCAAAATAAGGCATCTAATGTATATATGTATGTATGTTTGTTAGGAGCAAATCTTGCAATAAATTTTTGATCAACTTCCCGATGACCTAGAGACTTGAAACTTCACAGTTGGCTCAGAACCCGATGACAATGCAGTACGAAAGATAAGTTAATCGGATAGGTGGCGCAGGAGTCAAGATATTTGAAAAACTCGTATTCATAGTCTGATTTGGTTCATATTTAGAACGTATATTAACTACATGAAGAGGAATAACTCCACTAAAAGTTTTGCGTATAGGTGGCGCACGAGTCGATATATTTGGTAAACCAGTATTTATGGTCCGATTTCGTTTATATTTAGAAAGCTTGCTTTCAAAATATTCGTTTTTACAATTAACTTATATGATACATATAATACACAAAAACCACACAAAAAAAAAGAGTATCGGTTACGTTTTGTTAGCAATTTTGAAGTTTGTTTTCACTTATAAAGACAATGAGCAAATGGCCCTTAGTCACGTTAAATTTCTACTAACTACACCTTTAATCTTTTAAGTGTCTTAGTTCGTGAATACCATATCAATTTGCTGGTCTTATCATGCATACACATACATATGCATATGTAAAATAATCTGTAAATATTGCTGTAATTAAACTTAATACGGGCGTAGATTTTTGTTTGCATTGCATTGGATTCTTACACTTAATTTAACAACGTTGTAGGAGAAAATTTTTATTTATGTGCTAATGTGCATTTAAGTAGATCACGATAAAAGAATTTACCGTTGCAGAAGTTGTTTTCATGTAAGTATTTTTAGCAATCTTTAACTAAATTCTGTTAAAGACATTTCTTTCTGATGGTGACATCTACATAGGTACACGATATCGAACAGAAAGTATCGATATGGTACTCATTTCAAGTATCGCTTTAAAAATATCGGGTACCCATTAATATCGGAATAAAAATACTCGATATTCCAAATATCGATACCAAATTTCAAAAAATGTATATGAATATAGGTCTCGTATATAGGCCGATGTGGTGCAATGATTAGAAGTGCTCAAGACTTGAAAATGAAAAATAGCTTCCCATTAAAACAAAATCGCCGTTCAAAGTCGACATAAAACTGTAGGGACCCCTTTTGTGCCACAACATTAATAGGCCGAACACAATGAAAACGACGAGCTATGGACCATAGCTGTCAAATTATTTTAACACGTACTACTTATGTAGATAATTATTTTGGCGCCGACCGGGCTACGCGATGACTGTGGTTGTGGCCAGATTAGATCTATTTCTTTTTTTCCAGCGACAGATAAGGTTCTTCCTCTTCTTTTATGTCAAACTCGTACAAATTCATGATGTCGCCGACGCATTCAAAAAAATCATGTCGCCATCGACAAAGCGTTTAGACAATGAATATAACAAATTGGAAGCTGTGGCCCGTAGCTCGTCGTTTTTAATGTGTTCAGAACTTAAGGCGCACTTTGCAAATCGGAGAAGAATCTCTGTCAAACACTAATATTGTGTAACAACACGTAGAGATTGAGGTGTTGTCTTAAAACACCGAGGTCGAGGGTTCAAATTCCACCACATGCAATCCTCACTATATTACACATTTCTGCTCTTCAAAGCCCAATTTATATCGGGAAGAATTGTTAATAACATTATCCTTGTAATGTGAGTTTATTACATTCGATACGATACTAGGATTCTGGTACTCGATTCCAGAAAATATCATTTTAAAACTATCGAGTAGAAAATATCGGTATCGAATGCCAAAAGTATCGATATGGTATCGTATCGTATCGAAATTCGTGTCCCTACTTCTACATATATGCTATAACGTACCATAGGGATACTAGCTATACATATACATATGCATAGTGGCGAAACGAACGAAATTAATGGGGTACAACCGGCTCGCGGCTAACCCACTTTTTATTGCTTTCACATAAAAATGTTTTATTAAACGCGCAGTATAAAATGCTATAAGTGACATTTTGTGTCTGCTGGAAAAATTGTGGGGAAACTGAAGCGAAATTTAGATTCATGCGATAAAGCAAACGTGGAAAAGTTTGCTATGAATATAAATAATTTTAATAATTTTTTAGTTTTTTCTAGTGACGTTGTTTTTGGTACAAAAATTGTTTGATTTAAAGCGGATTTAATTACAATTGAATGGGCAAGAATCATAAGGATCTAAGTGACATTTTTTGAAAATATAAGTTATACCCATATTTGTATAGTTAAACATATGTAGTTATTTTTTTCCATCTGTAGTAAACATTCTTTGAATTAGTTAATTAACCTGCATTCATTTAGGCAAGAATAATTTCAAATGCATTTACCCAGAATTTACAATAAGTAATCAACTATATTCAACAATTTTTATTGAGCTCGAGGCCGTTTTTTAATGAAAGTTTAATGTGGAAAAGCAACAATAATTAGAAAAAATGGTTGAAGTGATAGCTATTTCGGAAATCACCACATTTCTTCATCAGACTTCTTTCAGTAGGCTTCGAACCGACGATCCCACTGACTCAGCCAGTTGCCTGTGCGCTGTGCTCAGCTCGCTTTGTAAATTATCGTTGTTTTTTTCCCACTTTTTCATTTTGTTATGCCAACACAATCAAGCGCAGCTATTCCGCTGCGATTCACTTGATCATGTGGTTGTTGGTTTTTTCTAATAATTCTATTTTTAGAATGTTTAACTTTTAGGTGTGCTCGTCCTTAAGTTATTTGTTTTTTTGTTATTTTATGGCCTTATAACAATTATATTCAACAATTTTTATTGAGCTCGAGGCCGTTTTTTAATGAAAGTTTAATGTGGAAAAGCAACAATAAATATAAAAAATGGTAGAAGTGATAGCTATTTCGGAAATCACCACATTTACTCATCAGACTTCTTTCAGTAGG